CCTTCCTTCCTTTCCTCCCCCCCTCCCTCCCTTTCTTCTCTTTCCTATCTTTCCAGCTTTCTATTTTAAATTCCTAATTACATTTCCTTACTGAATAAATTTGCTGGCAAAATTACCAGGGTAGAAACCTCTGTGCTGTCCCATTTCTTTACCTGTACTCATACCTATACCTGTATCTGTACAGGTAGCCCTCTACTTACAACTGTTCATTTAGTGACTATTCAAAGTTACAACACCACTGAAAAAAGTGACATGACCATTTTTCATACTTATGACATCCCCATAGTCATGTGATCAAAATTCAAATACCCGGTAACTGTTTCATATTAATGATGGTTACAGTTGGGTCATGTGATCACCTTTTGCAACCTTCTGACAAGCAAAGTCAATGCGGAAGCTTAACAAACATATTACTAACTTAATAACTGCAGCGATTCACTTAATAATTGTGGCAAGAAAGGTTGTAAAATGGGAAAAAAATCAGCAACATAAATTTGGGTTCAGTTGTGATCGTAAATCGAAGGTTATCTGTATTTGTATCCATCTACATAAATGTACGGTATATGTACATATATACATACATACATACACACATACATACATACATACATACATACCTACCGTGTTTCTCACATAATAAGGCCGGGCCTTATTTTTTTTTTGAGCCCCAAAAAAACGGCTAGGCCATCTTTTCGGGGGTGACTTAATTCCCCCCCTTGCATCCTCATCTAGAGCACCCTGCGGGCAGCCTCACCACCAGCCGCTCCTAACGGGTGATCATGGTGAAGCACAGAGAGCTCCCTACTCCCACCAAACACCTTTGCTGCAGACCCAAGACCTTTGGCACCTGCCGCTGTTGCTTTCCCTTCTGCCCGTTCTGCCGCCACGTTTGGAGCTGCCGCTTCCGTGTTTAGAGTGCTGCTGCCATTTGGAGCACTGCCATCATGTTTGGAGCTGCTACTTCCGTGTTTCGAGCTGCCGCCATGTTTGGAGTGGCAGCGGCGCTCCAAATGGCGGTGGTGCTCCAAACAGTGGCAGTGCTCCAAACGCGGAAGTGGCAGCTCCAAATGTGGACATGGCAACTCCAAACAGCGGCAGTGCTCCAAACAGCGGTGGGGTTCCAAATGCGGAAGTGGCAGCTCCAAACGTGGCGGCAGCTCCAAATGCGGAAGCGACAGCTCCAAATGGCGGCGGCACTCCAAATGGCAGCGACACTTTAAACACGGAAGCGGCAGCTCCAAACGTGGTGGTGGTGGTCCAAATGGCGGCGGCACTCCAAATGGCAGCCGCACTCCAAACATGGAAGCGGCAGCTCCAAACGTGGCGGCGGAATGGGCAGAAGGGAAAGCAACAGCAGTGCTCTAAACAGTGGCAGCGCTCCAAACGTGGAAGTGGCAGCTCCAAACGCAGCGGCAGCTCCAAATGCAGAAGCAGCAGCTCCAAATGGCAGCGGTGCTCCAAACAGCAGTGATGCTCCAAACGTGGAAGTGGCAGCTCCAAACACGGTGGCGGCATGGGCAGAAGGGAAATCAACAGCGGCGGGTGCTGAAGGTCTTGGGTCTGCCGCAAAGGTGCTTGGCAGGAGTAGTGAGCTCTCCGCGCTCTGCCATGATTGCCCATTAGGAGCAGCTGGTGGCAAGGAATTGCTGCCCGTGGGGCGCTCCTAATGTCAAGTCCCCCTGCCCTTCCCCCTTATTTTGCATGTTTTAAAATAGGCCTAAATTTGGGGGGAGGGGCTTAATTTGATTTTATGCCAATAAAACATGCTGGGCCTTCCTATTGGTGGAGGCCGTATTGTTGGAGAAACATGGTACATACATACATACATACACACACACACACACACACACACACACATAAAATGTACAATTCTCCAGTGGAATTCATTCTAGAATTCAGTGCTAATCACTGTACCCATCTGCTGTTGTTTCCTACCTGGTTAAACCAACTGTGCCAGGTAATGGCATCATCATTAATGGTGAACATTTGATCTGGAGGTGCCAGGGGATCTACACTCCCAACTTTCACTCTCTGTAAAGAGAGGTTGGAAAAAATAATCCAGTTGAAGATATCAAATCCAGTCACCAGCTCTCCTTTCTGGTTGAAGGTTATCCTATCTTGAGCAGTATTGTTAAATGAGACATATCTCAGAAAGTGGTGGAGCTACATTAGAAACAGAAACATGACATTTAAGAGAAAAAATAAATTTTTACAATTTAACTGATGGTTGGAGCAAAATAATAGCATTTGATGCCGTTAGGGAGGGAGAAGCATATTGGAATAAATTATTCAAATATAACAAGAGGGGAACCAACTCAAATTACAACAATCAATTCTGTTCCTTCTAGTAATTTTCCTAGTCAGAAGCATCTTAAAGTAACATCTTTTCTTGGGCTCATATAACTATGAGCCTTGGCTATATTCCTGAGCCTGGGGCATTGAATGTGTCAAAGACCCCATTTCCTGGATACATAGCTAATTGGCCAACTATCTTTAATGTGGATGTTTTTAGTGTTTTTATTGGTTGTACTGTTTTTATTGGTTTTAAAATAAAATATTAAAATGGGTTTTCATATTTTTAATTCTAATATATTTTTTGAACTGTAAACTGCTCAGAATTATTGAACGAGATGGGTGACCACAGAAATTGATTGCTTGATTAAATGAATAAAAAACTGCTGTCTACCATACAACAAAAGACAGCAGTATTTTTTAATGTTTGCCATAGATACTGTGCACGTCTGAACCCCTTTTGGCCCTCCAAATCCAGATTGACTGTGCATTCCTAATAGTCACTCATTGTATAGTGCTGTGCTTTGGAAATGATACCATGGTCAATATATGTGGTTCTATGATTTTTTCATGGAAAAAATAGGAGCATGTGATTAGGACACTGGGTTGGAGGTTAGGAAGCCTGGGACCCGAGTGCTGCCATGGGGCAGGCTGGGCTTTTGTCATTAGCTCAAGCTCCTGACAGGAACAATTGGGTGATTCCTGGGCAACAATTCTGTTGTTGGCTAATCCTTTCAAACAGGAAGTGCCTTGGTGCTTCTGACATGAGTGCGATGAGATAGGAATATCCATGGTCACCAAGAACGTAATGACAGAATAGAAGAAGCTCTGCATACTGTAACCAATAGAGCAACCTTTATCATAGTATAACATACTACCTGGAGCCAAAAACAGCAGAAGTGCCTTACAAACTATGGCACAACAACAGAAATTTTAAATATCATCTGATCTTTTAAATTCCATGCTACTTTGCTTTATTCTTTTCTCTTTTCTCTTTATTATAGTTTGGTTTTCTTTATTTTAATCATCGAGTGCTCTGTAAAAATTAATATAAGCATAAGTGATATTAACCCCACTTTTTGTGTAAATGAAGGTCACAGATATCCAAAGGACACCAGGAAACAAATGAAATACAGGATGTTTCATTTAATTGGCAGAGAGAAGAAGGTAAAGAAATGTCAGGTAATGAAAAAGTTGTGATATGCACATGTTTTGTAGGATACAAATTATAGTTCACTGTTCTGTGAAGATTTTTGGAACATTACCTGCCAGTGTTCTTGAGTTTGCAGCTTCTGTCCTTGAGCATCCCTCTTTGTTCTGCATTTGATCTTAGAAAAAGTCATGTCATGGATAGCATGGGCCACTGCTTGAACAGCATTGTAGATGCTATAGCTGGGGGTAGTCATAGCCATTTCAAAAAATGCCCCAGGAAGACTCTCCAACTTCTCTTTCCCAGTGCAAATACTCACAACATCTTCTTCCATCAGGTTCGAGAGTGCACAAGTGAAAACTTGTTGCCAAAAGTCACCAATGAAACCATCTTTTGAGTTGTAAGGACTTATGCTTTCAAGAAACCACCTAAATCCTGATATATCATTGGAGTGAATTTTGAATGATAATGCCCCGTGGAACACTTCTGCTTCCCAATTTCTTTGCAAAGCAAGTGATAAAAACTCTAGCTGAGTTGTTGCTATCCATACTTTACCTTTAACCCTTTCCATCTGTGATTCATAAAAATATGGAAGCCAACCATAAAGTGCCATAGAATATGATTCTCCATGAACTAGTACTGCATTAGCTCTGCTGCCCATCAATTTATAATATATTTTTGTTCCCTGTTGCAGCATGTAACTGATATGAAGGAAATAAATAAATACTCTTTCTATGAAGGCCAAGCAGATATCACTCTGGGAAAAAATCAGTGAGATTGCTTGCAAAAATCTTTCTCCATTAACATTATCAATAGCAATGACTCCAACCCAAAACCACTTGAAATGCAGCATCAAAGAGAGAATTCCTGGATATTGGAGAGATTCTTGAGGAATGGTCTGGTAGAAGAAAAGGCCTGGAGTTTTGTCATTCATGACTGGAGAAGAGCCATAGGTGAGCTAAGGAGAGATAACAACTGGTAAAGGAAACATTGTCTATGTATCCTAATCAATCATGTCAGAAATTCTGCACTACTCTTCCTAAAATTAATGTACACATGATGAAATGGACATTTATGTTATTAATAAATTTTTCCTACTAAATATCAGGATATTGTCTTTTAACTTCCAGTGGAATTTAGATGGCTGAAATTATTGGATGAGAAGAGAAGCGTCTTCAAAGAAAAAGCAAAGAAGTCCAGTTGCCTCTTGAAAAATTGCCTTTGGGACAACCTGGATTACAATTTCCTGTTTCTGAAAAAGTGGAATATAAATTAGCTTCACCCAATAATTTGGTAGAGAAGAAAAAGTTGCTGATACAATTTTCATCTAGAATATGATTTTAAATTTAAATGCCTTAATTCTCTTGAATATCCAGTGTGGGAAAATGAGTTCTTTTCACAGACAGGGGTTTGAGGTAGATACTAAATAGTATTTACTAAATGAAGTTTATGAACAGAGCCAGAAATAATTTGGCAAAAAATTAATTGTTGCAATTGAATGCAAGACTTAAATGCAGTATCCTATTAATTATAGTTGACATGTATGATCATGGAAACTATTGGTCTTGGTGTTGGAAAGTTATACAGAAGGAGAGCTTTCTAACAGGAACCAAAGGAAAGCTTTATCAACTGGCAGCAAAGCCATGCCACATGTGGAGCCAAGCTCTTGGCTCAGCTGGTACTCTATCAAGAAATAAAATGGATTGAAAAGGATCTTTCTGAATATGGAGTGGTATTCAGAAAGTGGTTCATGGAAAGAAGTAGAATTTTGATCTAGAAATATAGCATAAGTCCCAGAAGAAAGTATATAGGTAACACCGAGTAAGTATTATGCAGACCATAACCTGTAGACTTTCTTAAAGCAAGCTCTAGAGAATACAGGATGATATGTAGAATTTTTGCCAACTAAAAAAATCCTATGGTTATAAATTCCATTGGATAAAGACTTTAAAATATTTAAATGAACCTTGTTATGCCTTGGATAGGTTAGAATGGAATGTTAAACTTAGTGCACAGTAAAAAGCAGAAGGTTTAAAAAAATACCTCAAATGTATTCTTTATGATTCTGTTAATGCCATGTACTTTGACATCAATTAAGAATTAATTGTGCATTGTTGCTTCTGATATATTACAAATAAAATGAGAAAACTTGAAAATATACATCTTATGTTATAAAAACAGTGGTATGAAAAAATGTTACAACCCCAACTTTCTCATGCATAACTATCCTACCTGTGGAATTTTATAGATATCCAAAATAGTTGCTATATGACAAGAAACAGTGGAATCAATACCCCCAATAACTGCTATCAGATTGTGTTGGTTGTCACATGTATAGTTGGGAATCAACCTCTCTTCTGATGATAGAAGGAGCATGGTAGTCTGATAAGTTCTCTGGGCATTGTCATAGCTGTCATAGATATGGAAGCCCAAGGTGAAATTGGATAAAATCTGTGGGTTTTCATTGATCTCCTTTACTGCAAATACCAAGGCCAGGATGTGCTGGTAATTCTTAGGTATCAGGCTATAACAGGAGTTGCATTTGATATCAGAAAGATGACTAGCATTTACAGAAAAATCTTATGCATACCATATATATTCAATTGTTTGCATTGCTTGTTTCTATAATTGTCAGTGTGATTTGGATAGTATTACAACATGTAATTATTACAACATCTTTTCTGAGGCAGTGAGGAAAGTAACAATATTAGAATTGTAGCCACCATCTCCTTAAAATAAAAAGAGGGCATGTTATGCATATGCATGGTCAAGATAAGTGATCTCTAGGTAAAACCTTAGTCTCACGATCTGTTCCCATAAGTAATAGATATTTGTAGTGATCCCATATAAAACCAAAACAAATTTATTAATTCATTAAATCCACTAAAGACAATTTCTTTCTCACAGATTATGTGGTTTTGTTTTTTAAAATGCTGATTCAGTTGCTGAGAAATGTTTTGTTCTTCAAAGGAGAAGAAAATTAAGAAGATTTTCTCAGGGCTGTGTGAAGCTCTTATTTCTGCTTTAGATACAGTGGGGCTAAGGGGTATGTATGTGCAGCACATCTTTCTTATTTTCTCCTGGGCATCTGCCTTATTCTTGATTTCCTATAATTTCATTCAATCTCAACTTTTCATTTCAAGGTGTCTTTAGGTAAGAAAACATGAATAGCCAGGAAGCTCTAAATGGAGAAATAGGCAGTTAAAAAAAAAACCTATTATCAACTTTGCTATCTGGCATCAATAAGCTCAAAATTATCACCAGAAGACTTGCCTCCAAAACGACATTTCAAGAAGAGCTTGGCCAATATTTGTCTGAAATGACATAGAGTTACCTGATCAGGGTGGATTAGAAGACTTCCAGGTCCCTCCTAACTCTCTTATTCTTTTAAGAAATTTTAAAATGCCCAGAAAATTAAGTAGATTTAATTTTATAAAATGGAGGATGTCAATAGATTATATTTAAGCATGACAGTACACTACTTAAGAGCTATGTTCATAGGGAACACTCTTATGAGACTGAAGAGAAAATAATGATTGTGCAATATTATTTATAGTAGAAATAGCTGATAATATGAATTGTTCAATGCAATCTAAAAATGAGCCACAAGTTGAGCGGAACAGACAAAATGGGAGTCTGTGATGTAAAAGAATGAAGTATGGAAAGGAACAAACTGAAGAATATTCAGTTACAAGTTACACAAATGTCCTAAAATACGTTCCCTTTAGTGTTTCATTTCCTCCCCTGCTCTTCAATATTACTTTAATACTAAAAACGTTATCTGCAGCCTGAGTTAAAATAGCCAAATTTGATGAATATATCTTTTAGGGACATATCTTGCATGGAATGTTTTTCAGCCCTAGTCTTTATTTGGATCTCTAAAATGGATTCCTCCAAGGACATAAGAAAGCCAAATACATATATCTGAAAATTTAAATCCTTACAGAATTTCTTCAGACAATGCCACAGGAGGTTGTTTTCTGAAGTCTATTGACACTGGGACCAAACCAGAAAGAGTAGGAACACCACCAATGATAAAATCTCCTTGCTTATGATATTTATGAAGTGGAGGGTGAAGATCATGGACATTGCATTTTACAATGTGAGCTTTGCCTACCATATTTGGAAAAAAACCCACCAGCAAAATCACTAAAATTAACATCCTCAGTGCAAATACAAAACCTCTTTCAATACATAGATCCATCTATTTTCATCTGCAATGTTCTTAGTTCGCACGCTTATATCAGTCAAATCTGTATTTCTCAGGGGACTGAAAAATGCAATTAACATAGTAAGAGCAACATACAAGTACACCTTCATAATCATTCTTTTTAAACTCTAAACTGTGTGGATTATATTAAGAACATCCTTATCTTTGTTTATAATCTTGATACTGTTCACTGAAATTCAATAGAGGTTTGGAGAAGCAGGAAAATTACTTGCCTTTATATAATTATAGACCAAGATAATCAGCAATCCATAGTTGCAATTTCTCTATAGGACAATTGAAAATTAACAGGGCTTTGTCACATATAAAGTGACCTTTCCTCTAATCATTAAGCAAAAGTATTTGATCAGTTTCTGTTCAGTTTAACTTATTGAAACATTCAATCTGACTAATAGTGCCTAAATATTTACATGTACCTGCATAGTAAAATATGTACTGCAAGTTCATTTCTACATTTTGGCAGAAGATACTAATGTATCTTCAAATGCAGTAGCCTTTGTTCTCAAGACTTGGGGGAAAAAGCATTGTCCAAAGAGATGAGAATTGAGTGAATCCAATTTCAGTTCTCCCTTTTCTAACAGTGATTTTTTTTAAAAAAATAGGATGTATCAACTTGATGCACTAATGGAGATTCAACCCTAATACAAAACGAATTGTTTTTGGACTATTCAATAAGAAAGTAAGATCTAAACACAGGATGAGATGATGAGCAGGAGCATAGAATTAAGGACAAATTGGGGGACAACCCTTTTAATTCTCAACCTTAGAACAGATGTTCACATTTCTGGAGTTGATTTTACACTATCTGACAACTTATATGCATTATTCTGAAAAGATCCTTGGAATGGAGTTCATAAGGTAGCCAGGCTTATGGCCACCCTCAAAATGTGTCACTTGAGGACTTGAGTCTATAAGCAACCAGCTTGCTGGTGGAATAGTAAAAATTTTTGAATCTCACCACTGCTCCAGAGACCTATGAACCTGGAAATGCACCTGGAAAATCCATGGTACTGAAAGAGCCAGAAATGCAGTGAATCTTGCCATGGTTGCATTTTAGGCAGATCTTATCTAACTCAATCTCAATGGCTTTCAGGCACTGGGACAAGATCTCATAAATATCACATGGTCAGCCCAGGATTGAGATATAAAAACTAATTTCATCAACATAATAATGACATCTGATCCCATGTTGATGGATGATCCATTTCATGGGAGTATTAAACAGAAGGGATGAGAATGTTGAACTCTGTGTAAAGCCATAGCAGTTGCATGAGAATATTAAACAGAAGGGATGAGAATGTTGAACTCTGTTTACACAGAGGCGTCAGACAGAACTTCTCCATCCCATCAACACTGATTAGAACTGTCTCTGGAGAAAGGTGACTTACCACAACAATATGTCTCATATTCCTAATCCTAGCAGTAAGTCCATAATGTTGCCATGATAGAAAAAAATTATAGAAAGTAATAGTGAATTTTGGTGTAAACTACTTTTAATTACATGAAATGTGTTCCATCTTGAATTTGTTTAAAATATATTATTATTTGCATAGATTTACTCAGAAAAAGGTGGTTCTGAGCAAATAAACATTTAATTACACACATAATATTTATCCACCTTTCCTGACATTAGGTTACAGAACCCTCAGCATCTGAGTTTCCCCTCAGAACCCCATTCAGCTCTTATCTTAATGTAGTGGAATTTTATTTACTAGTTTAATTCCAATTTTGTTTATTAATTACTGTTCTATGATAGCTAAGGAATGTGCTATCATAGAAAGATATCAATCTTCCTCACTCCCTGAAGATATCATTACTGCTGAATTAAACATATTAAAATATGTGCACTTTTGCAATTATTTCATAATTTCCCAAATGGTTAAATTCAATAGAAAACTTTTTTGTTTTGTATTGACAAATAATCAGGAAACTGTGTTTATTTTTTAATTAATAAACTATGTGTCAGGATTCCTGCAGTTAGTCCAATTAAATCATGAGCCTTGATCCACACTCCCAAAACTAAAAAGGATTTATTTGAAGTTGACATTCCAGCACTAGCCTGGGCGTAGCCAACTCTGAGACATGTAATTCACTGTCACCCTTGATCCTGCTCCACCCCGCTTCTGAGTGTATCATCCAACAAAACACATCCATAGTCAAGAGTCATCAATCATGTTCTCCAATTAGATTTTTGCGTGGCAGAAGCTTCAGTCATCTAATCAGTCCTGAAGAAAATATGAATGAAATGCACTTTCGATTCCACTCTGCTGCCTGCTCTTTGAAACTACCCCTTCTTTCTGTTGACAACTATAAAACGTGCATACAAAATGTTTTATGAGTTGACATTGGCTCCCCTCATTTCTTGAAGGTGACCTGTACAACAACACACACAAACAAATTGATTGCAGATATGGAAGCTTATGTTCATGAAACCCCCGCCCTCCCCAAAGGCTTGGTTGGATTTTCTGCATGGAACCTTGCTACAAGGCGATCAGCTTGGACATTCCTGCTCTTTACACATGATGCCTCTTATCATTGTCACTATGCTTGAATACTGCACTGTCCAGAGCTACCATTTACTAGCTTTGAAAGGTGCTCTCTCAAAATATCAGAGCCTCCTACTACTTTGAATTACTCAAGATGTAGTAAAGATTGTTAAGATGGGAGCATAGGAATACTTTCCTACCTTTCTCAGTTGAAACTCTCCCTTCTGGGCATGCAATCATAGCAGCAAAACATCTGTCCTTCTTTCACCTGCTTGTTGAAACCAGGATAACAACTCTCACTGCAGACAGAAATAGGTTGGACCTAGGAATTAAGGAAAAGTGTGGAAAAGAAATATTTTTTGTCCAAACAGTAAGTGTTTGCTTATTTCCAAATTTTCTAGTCTGAGAAAATTTATATTCTGGAATAGGTATAATGAAGCTTTTTGAGCCAATGAACACATAAGTATGCAATGATGAAGCTTTGTCATAGGCATCTTCTAAATTTAATAATAGAAATAATAACTTGGAAATCATTTTTCAAGCATAATCATAATAATATAATGCTCAGTCAATCTCACTTTTTTTTTAAATTAAACATCTTGAATCTAATAGCATTTCCAATGAGTAGCTTTTTCTATTAATTGTGACCATCTATTAGAATTGGAAAAAACCCGAAATCTCTGCTTAAAAATCAGAATAACTAAGAAAGAGTGCAGCCTGAGTCCATGGTTTTATTTATTTTATTTATTTATTTTTTATTGATGGTGGCTTGGAACTGAGGCAGATTGCATCAAGAGGACATGATGGCTTACTATTTCTACCCAAATACTCTTAAATGATCATTTTTATTTCACAGTTAATTGGGCCTAATGATGAGCTCTAAAATTACTTATGGGGAAATAACTTTATATAAATAAGTTTATATTGGACATTAGTAAAAATTTATGTTTGCTTGTAACCTTCAACAGGGCAAAATATGAAAGTATAGGACAACAATTATTGAATCAAAGTAACTCAGATAGCTTAATGTACAGAATGCTGGAATGGCTCCTGTCAAAATGCTGGTGAGATACAGCTGGCTGGGGGCCACCAGTGGTTGCTGGGCAAGTCTATTTTCTCTCTAGGGGAAGGGGCCTCTGGGGATATACTTAATTGGGGAATGAAGATGTAGTTTTCCTCATGATTTGTGGTTCCCATAGCTCTCTTTTCCCCTAGCAAAATGAATGTCAGGATTCCAAGTAACACACCTGGGATTTCCGGTTTGGTCCTCATCGGTGTCGTGCAGAATCCGCGATCGTGCATGGTTTCGCCTGAGCTCTCTTGCTGGAGGGTCCCAACTGGGACCGGAACCACCCTGGTGGGGTGGTGAAGAAGGGGGAAATTGCCTGGAGGGTTGAGGGGAGTGCGACTCCCCTCCCTGACAGGAAAATCCCTCCCGAAGGCAAGCTGCAGTGGTGGTCTTAAAATGGCCACCACGAAGACAAAGAATATTCCGGGAAACTAAGTTTTGTGCTGGAGAGAGAAGTAGTGGGCAGAGTGTGAAACAGGCAAAGGACATCACTTTTGAAGTACCCTGGTATCAAATTAAAGGGCTATTTTGGAGGAAAGTGTGTTCAAGTGGCGACCAGAGAAAGTGAGAAAGAAATGGTTTTTAAATTTGTATTTGATTATTTTACTGGACTAATCTGAAGGAGAAATTTAAAGGAAAATACATTAACACAACAAAGGTTTAAAAATTAAACTGGACAGATATTGAATTGTGGGCACTTAAAGGGCATAACTAAATGCTGGAATTGAGTGTGTTGAAAAGAATAGCTAATGATTGAAATTAGTGAACTTAATAAAAACATCATATTTAACAAGAAAGTTACAAAGAAAAAGACTCAAGAGTGCCACCTGATGGTACAGGAAAACTTTAATGTGTTTTAAAACAAGCGTCTGGTCCTTTTGAGACTTTGGATCTTGGAACTTGAAAGAAAATAAAATTATTTTCATAATATTGTCATAGAACCACCCGGTTATTTGGGCAACAGTTGGGAGGCCAATGAGAAGATTTGGAATAAAGATTCAAGAGTATGAATTGTTGAAAATAAATTCAAAAGATATTGGCTGAAATAAGATACTGGACTCTGGATTGAATATATCTATCAAAGAAGAAGATTTCAACTATTAAGGAAGAGGAAAGAAAAAGAAAAAAGAAGATATAATGGAGGAGCTACTTGTTGATATAAGACTGGACTTACAAGACATAAGATCAGATATGCAAGATACAGGGGACACGATAAAAATTAAACTTGAAATGTGTAATTATGTATTACAGAAATTAGAAATGGTGACTCAGCATACACAAGAACACAATAAACCAGAGGGGGAGGAGTTCTATAAAGAAGAAGACAACTTAGAAGA